CACCTTCGTCGACGCCGGAACGCGCCACGTATGGGTCGTAAACGTGGAAGCGCGCAGCAGAGCCTACGAAGCATTCCGCCTGTGGCTGGCACACGCGCAGCGGCAATCTGGGGAGAAATTGAAGATCTGGCAGTCCGATGGTGCAGCGGAGTTCAGGAGCAAGGAGCTGCAGGATTTCCTCGCGCAAAAGGGGATCGAGCACCACATCTCTCTCCCCTACGCGCATCAGCAGCAGGGCGTAGCAGAACGCACGAATCACACGCTCATGACGAAGGTGCGGGCGCTAATGAGGCAGGCGAAGCTCCCGCCGATCTACTGGACCTACGCGATGCACCACGCTGTGCGGGTGCACAACCTGCTGTCAACCACCGCAATCACCGGCAACTCCTCGCCGCATGTGAAATGGACGGGAAGAAAGGGGGACACCTCCATGCTCCGCGTCTGGGGGTGCATGGTTCAATACCGACCGCCAACGTCAACCATCGGGAAGTTCAAGAGCCGCGCGCGCTGGGGAATCCACCTCGGCATCAGTCACGAACACAAGGCATGGATCATCCTGGATCTCCTAAGCCAAAAAATCAAAAATGCGCACGACGTTATCTTCTACGAGCGGCTGTTTCTACAACAATTCCGTGAGGACGAGCAGACGAACGCAAACCGCGTCTACGCCAACGAGGGCCACAGCTACGCTTCACCTGAGGACGAAGCTGCAGCAGCGATTCTGGAGCAGGATCCCGGAGGGGAGTTCACAAGGGGCGATCGCCACGACGACGACGACGACGATGATTCAGGAGAAGCAGGAGCGGGCGCAACAGGAGGCACAGCGGGAGGAGGCGCAGCAGGAGGAAGCGGAAGCGGCGGAGACACAGCACCACCAGCACCGCCTGAACCAGAAAGCGACGATGACGACGTGCAGGAAGTCGTCACTCAACATCGCCATGACAGCACCACCACTGGCCTTCAACTCCTGGGACTGCACGTTGCCGTCTCCACTGCTCCGCGCATCATCGAGCCTAAGAACCCACGACAAGCTCTCACAGGCCCACACAGCAAGGAGTGGCGCGAAGCAATGGATGCGGAGATTCGGGCGCTTGAGTCGCGCGACACTTGGGTACTCGTCGACCGTGCAGCAGTGAAGGGCAGAAGGATCCTCTCCGGCAAATGGGTCTTCCGCCTGAAGACGGGAGCTGACGGAACGATCGAGCGATTCAAGGCGCGCTGGGTGGTGCGCGGCTACGATCAGAGGCACGGGATTGATTTCGACCAGACATTTGCGCCGGTCAGTCGTCACACTTCCGTCAGAATTCTGCTCGCCATCGCAGCCGCACGCCACCTACCACTTCGGCAGATCGACGTGAAGAATGCCTTCCTGTACGCGTTAGTGGACGCCGTGATCTACGTGGAGCAGCCACACACATACGGCGACGGGGATCCACGCGTTTGTCAGTTGCGCAAGTCCCTCTACGGGATCAAACAGGCACCAAGGCTCTGGCAACAGTACCTGCACAACATACTGCTTGAAATCGGATTCAAGCAGCTGCCTCACGACCCCGGGATGTATCGCCGCGATTTCCGCGGGGAATACATCCTACTCACGGTCTACGTCGACGACCTCCTTTACACAGGGTCAAGCAACGAACTGCTGGAGCAATTCGAGAAGAGTCTCGCAGGGCGCGTCGATATCACCTGCAACCACGACGTGAAGCAGTTCCTCGGACTCAACATAACTTACGCGCCAGAAGCCATTCATCTCTCAGCAGCGAAGTATGCGGAGGAGCTTAGCAAGCGCTTCAGCACTGCGCCTGCACCACTCTCCACCCCTTACCGCACTCCAGGACCCAACCACAAGCCTGACGACAAAGCCCTGTCCCCTGCTGGGCTTCACACTTACCAGCAGCAGTTGGGGTGCCTGCTCTTCGCATCAGTCACCTGCAGGCCCGACCTCTCCTACATCGCAAGCCAGTTGGCTCAATACTCACGCAAACCAACGGCTGAGAACCTCTCAGATCTTCAGCGAGCCCTTCAATTCTTTATCTCCACGCCCATTGTCGGGCTCAGCTACTCCACCATCCCAACCGCATCCTTCAGTCTCGTCGGCTACGTGGATGCTGATCACGCCGCTGATCCTGACAATCGACGGTCCAGGACAGGATTCCTCTTCCGCCTCGAGCCCAGCGGCCCCATCTCCTGGAACTCTCAGAAGCAGGAGTTGGTTGCCCTGTCATCGGCGGAAGCCGAATTCATCGCAGCAGCAGCTGCTCGCGAAGGTCTCTACCTTCAGGAGCTGTTGCAAGAAGCGAAAGTTCCGGCCTCAACGAACTTTCGCCTGCACTGCGACAACCAGAGCGCGATCAGGATCGCGAACAAACCTGGCTTCGTCAACCGCACCAAGCACATCGCACTGCGATACTTCTTCGTCAAGGACGAAGTTGACAAAGGCAAGGTTGATCTGACATACTGCCCAACGGGTGACATGGCAGCAGACTTCCTCACGAAGAAACTGCCGCGTCAGCAGTACCAGCACTGCTCCGAACTCAGCGGGGTAGTCAAGCGGGTCAAATGCCCGCTACGGTCAGGAGTGAAGGGGGGTGTTACGAATAGTGGTTAGTGAAAACACTATTGATCACTCCTCACCATAGCGAAGCCGAAGCACGCAGCATCGAGAGTGAAGACGAAAGGGCAGAAGTAATGCGAAGGGACAGACGGTGACGAGGAGCATCTGGACCGTCGGGCAGACAGCATCTGGCAGCAGCAGTGGCGAGGATTCCTCCCGAACAGTTCCGTAACCACCCGGAGTCGCACGGTTGGATTTTGCTGTAATAAGGGAATGTACCCCTTAGAGTACATGGCTAGCTAGGTCGTTTTGCATTCCCCTGTACTCTTATGTATATTCCTTGTACTGCATGTTTTTATTATCTCAAGCATTTACATTCACTCTGCTATTGAGGTCAAGGGCCCACCACCACTAGATTAGAAGTGTGCGAACCTTCCTGAGGTGATCCTGGATACGATCAACTTCTGATCGCAGCACAACCAGCCTACCAAAAAGAAATTATGATTAGTTGTGCTTGCTGTACACCTCTGTTTGCAACAGTGTAATCCACAAGGGGCTCGTGATTGGCCAGTGTGGATGCCTCGATTGAGGTTGACGACAAAGATCCTCCTGAAAAGGAATATTCTTGTGTATGTGACATGAATGAGGATTACGTGTGAATCTCCTCGGTCATGGCGAGGCTTACGTGGCAACGAGTCTTGCTTAACACTGTGCCGCACGTGCCAGTTATGGATCAGGTCTCATCACATCGGTGTTTGCTGCTGGAACGCCACAGGTGCTGGAATACTGTCTAGGTTGGGCACTGGCTGGCAAGCGTCCTGGTTGGTTCATTGACGTGACAATTCTCTCCGCAACCGTAAGCGATTGCTGCACTAGTACCCTAGATCTTACGTAAGTGTGTCTCTTTTGAGGAAGGTCTTGAACCTATTGAAGTCCACACTTTTTGTGAAACGCAAGCAGACGCGAAATTGTGAACACATTCTTGAGGTCTCGTCCAAGCTTGTCAAACCCACGCCAGGGCTAACCGTAGTTGGCGCTGAGGTGTCCTGGCGTGGCAGCGCGCGGATAGACGCGGGCCGCGCGTGCGAGGTGAGGAGGGAGGGATGCAGCTGTGGCTCTGTCGGATTGGGGCAGCAGTGCACAGCGGGCGGACCACCAGCAGCAGCCACAACTGCGCCAAGGGGCAAATCAGAAATTTGCGAGAACCGTTGTCCAACTTTGCCTCTAACCGTTCCCAAACCCTTCCATAGATGGCGCCAACGCACTCCACTCCACTCCACTCGTCGCTCACTCCCTGCCCTCCTAAGGGCGGGTCCAACTCTGTACATGTACAGTTAATTTTCAGCTCAGTTACCACATTTAGGCTTGTAACTGAACTTTTAACGTACAAAATCATTTTGACGCGAGACTGTACATACACGATAACATTTCGGAAACGTGCCCAGGGACGTGCAAAACACGACCGAAGGTTCACCGTCAATTCATCTCCCAACTCGTTTCGCGTCAAACACGTCAAGAAGTAACGCCCGTTTTCGTCAAATCGATTTTCGCCATTGAATTCCCCCCTCCGTCACAGCTGCGAAAAGTCTCGATATTTTTGGTAACCCTTAATCCCAGGTCTGTACCTCGCAACGTTATTGTACTGCGTCAATAGTTCCGAACTGTACACCTCGAACTGGACAGGAAATGTTAGGCGTACACCCTGGGGTACAGTCAAATTTGACAAGTCCATTGACGTAAAAATGACGAAAAAAACGGGAGTGTACAAAGTTGGACCCGCCCTAACCATTTTTCCCACTTCTAGCCGTTGAGATAAGAACTACGGCTTTACTAAATGTTCCTGCGTAGCGTTGCCTTCACCATTAGTCCCTAATTTCTCTTCCGCTCCTAGCCGCCTGTTTAGCAGGCGCCAGGCGAGCTTTGGTGCAGTCCCTTGGGTGTTCCACCAGCTATCCTCTCCGCGCATTCCGAGTCCCAATTGGCCGGAATGTTTGCCATTCGGTCTCTGCACCCGCTCCCAGTCGAGCACGGCTCGTTTCACCTGCTGTCTTCGGAGCAAGGCTCGCTGCTTTCTAGCCACCGTAATATAAGCAACGGCGGAACTCTTTTCCGCAGTCAGCCGCTTATCGCCAGCAGACGAACGGTTAAAATCGTGCCACGTGCAACTGCTTCCCCCTCCACCCCCTCCTCGTCTCCGTCCGTTTCCTCCTCCTCCTCCCCATCTCCCCCCTCTCTCTCCTCCTTACCATCTACTTCTCCTCACTCCTCCTCAAGCCCTCCCTCCGTCACCCGCAAGTCTTATTTCGATGCGCCTTTACCTAACCTCCCCTGCTGGCCCGCACCTTCCGCCAATGCCGCCGCGTTCCCCGCCACCGGCGGCGCGCGACGCGCCGTGCAATCCTCCGCGGCGGGAGCCGCGGCGGGGTCTGCGGAGTCGGCCCAGCAAATGGGGACAGTGTCAGTGGGGGTGGACGTAGAGGAGGGGGAGGAGGACGGCGGACACGTGGGACCAATGATGAGCCGCCAGCTGTTGCGGACGGCACGTGGCGGCGAGCTGAGCGACGACGAGGAGGAGGTGGACGGCAGCACGGCAATCCCGAAGATTCGGAAAGGTGCGCAATTGTTGTCGTTATCCACCTGACCTCCGTAGTCATCTACAAATATGGCATTTTCAAATTCTAGCGTTCAACTACCAAATGTTCAAATAGAGAGGCTCTAGTTCACGGTCTGATGAATGTTTCTCTACTCCCTTTCTGCACTCGCTATCGACTCCCGCGCTTCCCCTTTTCGCACGCCCGTTACCCTCTTCGCGCGCGTGCCTTCCCCTCTCCGCGCAGTGCCGGAGCAGGAGCAGCGGATGCCAGCGGCGGGGGACATGGGCACCAACTCGTTACACATGGGAGTCATGCTTGAGAATTCTCAAACTCGCCCGTCCCGCTCTACGCGCGTCCTTCCCCATCTCCGCGCACCATTTCCCCTCCCCGCGCGACCTTTTCCCCTCTCCGCGCGCGCACCCTTTCCCCTCTCCGCGCGCGCGCCCTTACCCCCTCTCAGTGCCGGAGCAGGAGCAGCGGATGCTAGCGGCGGTGGACATGGGCACCAACTCGTTTCACATGGTCGTCGTTAAAGCCGACAACAAGGGGCGCTTCGAGATCGAGGACGTCGAGAAGGAGGACGTGCGGCTCGGCAGCGGCAGGTATTGCACTGTCCGAGAAGCATTGCGGTGTTTACGCATTAAAACATTTAAAACATTAAGGACGCGTGACACGCTGGATGCGAATGTTAAAAGCCCGTCAGAGTCCACGAAGACAGAGCATGGAACTTAATCTCCTTATGCAAGTGAAAGGCGATATACGTGCCCCAAGCCGCCTTTCTTTGGACTACTACGTAATTTGCCCAGTCCATAATATTCGGAATCGCTTTTTTCCTCGTTCCAACCCTATACTATGACTAGCTACTGACTCATCTGACCCATTTCTCTGTTGGACACGTGACAGCTCGGGGTTCGCTGTCATTACGCCCGAGGCGGAGGAGCGCGCGCTGGCGGCCGTGCGGCGGCTGAAGCAGATCGCGAAAACGCGCGGCGCGGCGATACGCGTCGTTGCCACGTCAGCAGTGCGCGAGGCGCGCAACCGACGGTCGTTCGTCCGCCGCGTGCTGGACACCACCGGGATTGACGTGGAGGTGCTGTCTGGCCAGGAGGAAGCCTGCCTTATCTACCTCGGTATTCTCCAGGTGCGTTCCGCCCCCTCTGCCCCTCGGCCACCGCCCCCCGCCCCCCGCCCCCCCGCCCCCTCTCCCCCCCTGGTTCCCCCGCTCCTGACCCCCTCTCCCTTCGTTTTGTCCGCCGCGTTCTGGGCACCACCGGGATTGACGTGGAGGTGCTGTCTGGCCAGGAGGAGGCCTGCCTCATCTACCTCGGCATTCTCCAGGTGCGTGCCCCCTCCCCCCCTGTCCCCCAGCCACCGCCCCCCGCCCCCTCTCTCCTGACCCCCTCCCCCTTATTTTGTCCGCCGCGTGCTGGACACCACCTGGATTGTCGTGGAGGTGCTGTCTGGACAGGAAGAAGCCTGCCTTATCTACCTCGGTATTCTCCAGGTGCGTACTCTGGCCTCCTGGCCCCCTGGCCCCCTTGCGCCCTTACCCCCTCTGCCTCCCCGCCCGTCCCCCGGTTTCTGGACGCCACGGGGTTGACATGGAGGTGCCATTTGGCCAAACAAGATAAGGCCTGCCTCAGTTTTCTGAGAATAAAAATAAAAACAGATTCTGCTGGACGCGACGGGGTTGACATGGAGGTGCCATTTGGCCAAACAAGAGAAGGCCTGCCTCAGCTACTCTGGTATTCAACAGGTCTGTTCTCCGCCCACTCCCCTTCACCCTCCCCCTCCCTCTGCATTCCCCACCCTCCTCATTCCCCCCCAGGCCCTCCCAGTGTATATCAAGACAGTGCTGACGGTGGACATAGGAGGCGGGTCTTGCACTCTTGCACTCACCCGCCCACTTTCTCTCATTCTCTCCATTTCCCTCACTTCCCCATTCCACTCTCTCTCCCCAAGGCCCTCCCAGAGACCACAAGACGGTGTTCACGGTGGACATAGGAGGCGGAGGTTGCATTCACTCTCCCCTTAATAAGAGGCCCTATTCCGCGCGCTCCCGTTTTTCTTCTTCCCCTCCTCGTTCCCCCCAGGCCCTCCCAGGGAACCACAAGACAGTGCTGACTGTGGGCATTGGAGGCGGGTCATGCGCTCGTGCACTCACTCGCCCACTTTCTCTCATTCTCTCTTACTCTCCTTCACTCTCTCTCTCTCTCTTCCAGGCCCTCCCAGTGTATCACAAGACAGTGCTGACGGTCGACATTGGAGGCGGGTCATAAACTCTTACACTCACTCGCTCACCTTCTCTTATTCTCTTTTCCTCTCCTTTCACCATCTCTCTCCCCCAGGCCCTCCCAGTGTATCACAAGACGGTGCTCACAGTGGACATTGGAGGCGGGTCAACGGAGTTTGTGATTGGTCGGGAGGGCAAGCCGCTCTTCGCCACGTCACTCAAGCTGGGCCACATCCGCCTCACTGAGAAGTTTGCATGTGAGTGTGTGTTTGTAACGAGGATGGTGCTAAACTGCACGTGTCACAAAAAATGGAATAAAAAATGAGAAGGAAATTACTTAACAGAAAACTAGATAAGAGCATCAGCAGCACATGCTTAGCGCATCACCAGTTGTGCATTCATGCGAGAGTAAGTCATCATCAAAGAGGGGGGGGGGGCATTTGTCCTTATTCTCGCATAAATGCGCAAATATTTGTGCCTCAAAGACGCGCTCGTGTCTCTACTTTCTCCCTCCCCCTTTTCCATCCGCTGCCCCCTCCCTCGCTCCCCTCATTCCTATCCTCATTGACGCTTCCTTCTCCCTTCCTTCCTCTCCTCGTCCCTTGCCTTTCCGCTTCTCTCCTCTTCCCCAGCGGGTGGGCTGTCCAAGAGCCAGCAGATTCTGGAGATGCGGCGATACGTGCGCGTGCTGCTGGCCGACTCGGGCGTGCTCGAGGTGGTCAAAGCGTGAGTAGTGGTGCACTGTGGTAAAGTGCGGTGAAATGTGGTGCCCTCCTGATGATACGTGCGCGTGCTGCTGGCCGACTGGGGTGTGCTCGAGGTGGTCAAAGGGTGAGTGGGAGTGAGTGAGTAGAGATGCATTGCGGTGACGTGCGGTGAAGTGTGGTGCAGAAACCAGAGGAAAAGTGCGAGTGCTGGTGGCCGATTTGGGTGTGCCTCATGTTGGATACAACGTACTTGTTCTGTCTTCTACTTGTTTGGCCTGCTCTGCTTTTTGTTGTTTTACCCTTTTTCTTGCAAGGCTCGAAGGAAACCATGCTGGCGGATAATCAGAAAGCATCTTCAGCGTGGTTTTTTTTTTTTTTTTTTTTTTTTTTTTTTTTTTTTTTTTGCAGGGCCGAGAACGAAATAGAACTGTCAATAGGCAGTTCGGGCACCATCGAAACAATCGAGCAGATGATCCACCAGTCACAAGCCAGCGGCACCATTAGCACGGGCAGCGCTGCAACCATCGCCACTGCCAGCACCACCAGCGGCAGCAGCAGCAGTGGGAGCGGGAGCAATGGCTCCCTGGTGGCAGCCGGGGCGCAGAGCGGGAGGAGCAGCGGTGGCGGTGGGAAAGGAGGAGGAGGGGGAGGAGGGGGTGTCAGTGGTGTTATGCAGAATCAAGAGGTGAGAATCGAATGAGGGGAACCGATGTATGAATCGAGTCATGCTATCAGATCATGTAAGCCATTGAATCATGCTATCTTATTATGGAATCAAGTCTTTCCTGAAGGACCGTGAGTTCACCCTGGAAGAGCTCTCCGCCGTGGTCAAGTAGATTTGCAACCCACTTGCTCATCCCCTCTCTACCTACAACCCCACCACAGGCCGTCCTTCGGCGCCTAGCCGACCTGAAGGACTGTGAGTTCACGCTGGAAAAGCTCTCCGCCGTGGTCAAGAATAGTTGAACCCAGTTGTTCATCCCCTCTTTGCCTCCCCAATGGTGCCTACCTAACTACACCCGCACTCCAGGCTGTCCTGAGGCGTCTAGCAGACCTGAAGGATCGCGAGTTCACCCTCGAAGAGCTCTCCTCCGTGGTCAAGACGATCTGCAATGCCAAGACCACCCAAAACCCACTTGTTTGCTTCCCTTTCTTGCCACCACCACCCCCAACCCCACCACAGGCTGTCCTGCGGCGTCTAGCCGACCTGAAGGACCGTGAGTTCACCCTCGAAGAGCTCTCTGCCGTGGTCAAGAAAATCTGCAAGGCGAAAACCCCCGAGGCACGCGCGAAGCTGCCCGGGCTGCCCGAAAAGCGCGCTGACGTGATCCTGGGCGGCGCGATTCTCCTGGAGGAGATCTTCCTGGCGATGGGGATTGAGAAGATGCGCGTGTCTCCGTACGCTCTGAGGGAGGGCGTGATTGTGGACACTCTGTCAAGGACGTTCACTGACTTCAGCATCACACCTGACCTGAGAAGGAGCTCTGTGCTGAAGATGGCCGGGAAGTTCAACACGGGGTTAAGGAAGGAGTCCGCCCTCCATTGTGCGCGCCTGGCCCAGGTGAGCCACTGACAGGGGCCTTGCAATGTGAGCCTGCGCTTTCTGAGGGACCTGAGGAGGAGCTCTGTGCTGAAGATGGCCGGGAAGTTCAATACTAGGCTGAGGAAGGAGTCGGCTCTGCACTGTGCGCGCCTGGCGCAGGTGAGAGCAGTGAAGAGAGGAGCATGGTGAGAGGGAGTGAGGGGGAGTGAGGGGGGGTGGGTGGGCTAGGGTGCAAGAGGGCGATGGCTGGGAAGGTCAACTCGGGGCTGCGGAAGGAGTCCACCAGTTGACTCCTCATCCTGCACCGTGCGTGCGCGACTCCAAGTGGGAGAAAGAGAGCGATGGGGAGTGGTGCAGGTGAAAGAAGTGAAACCAACATTGCCTGTAGGCCGATATATCTTGGTCCTTTTTTCCCCTTTGTCTTCCTTTGCTGAAGCAAATAATTTGGGGGGATGCGGACGAGTAAGATGAGTGGTCAGCTTGGGTTGCACCTATCATCTTCCTTCCGCACAAGCTCCTAACCTCCCCCCCGCCCCCCATTCGCTCCCCCCCCCCACTCCCCACCCCTCTTTTTCTATTTTTTCATTGCTGCAGCAAATCCTGGCGGGCATGCAGACGTGCAAGATGGGCGGCTCAGATTGCGTCTCGCCGATGATGGCTCTTTTGGACGGCAACGATTTCGAGGTGCTGGAGGCGGCCACTGTGCTGCACTATGTGGGCATGTTCATCTCCCACAAGGGCTACCACAAGCACTCGTACTACCTCATTAAGGTGAGAGATGGGGGTGACTGGAAAGAGGTTTTAAAGGGGGGAAGGGGCAGAGCCACAAGTTGTGCTTGCTGTGCTGCACTATGTGGGCATGTTCATCTCCCACAAGGGCTACCACAAGCACTCGTACTACCTCATCAAGGTGAGGGGGACGTGATGCTTGGGGAAAGTTTTTTAGCATCTTTGTTAGCCTTGCCGCTGCCACTCATGTCTTCGAACCCCAATCCCATCCAAACATCTCACCCTTTCCTCCTCTCCTCCCTTCTGCCCTCACCTCCTCCCCCCCTTCAATCCCCCCTTCCCCCTGCCCCCCTCCACCCCCCCTCCTCCCCTTCCTCTCCTTCTCATTTACTTACTTTCCCTTCCGTTGATCCCTCTGCCCCTTGTCCTAAACCACAATCCTTTTAAACCCGAAACCTTGCAGCATTTGTAGCAGCTGTTGGGTTATTCATGTATCCTTTTTCAAATTCTGACTTCTTTCCCTCCACCTCCTGCCCCCTGGTTCTCCCCATCCCTCTCCTTTCCTTCCCATCCCTGCACTCTCTCTCCGTCTCTTGAACCCCAATCTTGCAGCATTCGGAGCAGCTTCTGGGTTACTCGCCCATGGAAGTCGAGGTGAGCGGACCACACTTGAATAGTGTGGGGCGTGGGGCGTGGGGTGTGGGGCATGGGGCGTGGGGTGTGGGGCGTGGGGTGTGGGGCGTGGGGCGTGGGGTGTGGGGCGTGGGGCGTGGGGCGTGGGGTGTGGGGCGTGGGGCGTGGGGTGTGGGGCGTGGGGCGTGGGGTGTGGGGCGTGGGGCGTGGGGTGTGGGGCGTGGGGCGTGGGGCGTGGGGCGTGGGGCGTGGGGTGTGGGGCGTGGGGCGTGGGGCGTGGGGCGTGGGGCGTGGGGCGTGGGGTGTGGGGCATGGGGCGTGGGGCGTGGGGCGTGGGGCGTGGGGCGTGGGGCGTGGGGCGTGGGGCGTGGGGCGTGGGGCGTGGGGCGTGGGGCGTGGGGCCTGGGGCCTGGGGCCTGGGGCGTGGGGTGTGGGGCGTGGGGCGTGGGGTGTGGGGCGTGGGGCGTGGGGCGTGGGGCCTGGGGTGTGGGGTGTGGGGTGTGGGGCGTGGGGCGTGGGGTGTGGGGCGTGGGGCGTGGGGTGTGGGGCGTGGGGCGTGGGGTGTGGGGCCTGGGGCGTGGGGTGTGGGGCGTGGGGTGTGGGGCGTGGGGCGTGGGGTGTGGGGCGTGGGGCGTGGGGTGTGGGGCGTGGGGCGTGGGGTGTGGGGCGTGGGGCGTGGGGTGTGGGGCGTGGGGCGTGGGGTGTGGGGCGTGGGGTGTGGGGCATGGGGCGTGGGGTGTGGGGCGTGGGGCGTGGGGCGTGGGGTGTGGGGCGTGGGGCGTGGGGTGTGGGGCGTGGGGTGTGGGGCGTGGGGCGTGGGGTGTGGGGCATGGGGCGTGGGGCGTGGGGTGTGGGGCGTGGGGCATGGGGCGTGGGGTGTGGGGCGTGGGGCGTGGGGTGTGGGGCGTGGGGCCTGCTTCCCTTGTTCTTTCGTCTCCCATGATCTCCCTGCTGCCGTCACTTTCCTCCTCCAACCCCCCCATCCCCAACCCCCCCATCCCCAACCCCCCCATCCCCAACCCCCCCTCCTCCTCCCCTGCCTCCACCTCCTTCGTCTCCCCTCTTCACACCGCCCTCCCCTTTCGTCCTCACTCCCCCATCCTCCATCCCTCCCCCTGTACCACACCAGATGATCGCTCTGCTCGTGCGCTACCACCGCAAGCGCCCCCCCTCCACCAAGGATGAGGACTTTGCCAAGCTGCCTCTCGTGGTGCAGCAGAAGATCCGAGCGCTCTGTGCCATCATGCGCATCGCCGTAGCGCTCGACCGCTGCTACACGGGCGCTGCCGCTAGCGTGCTGGTGCTGCAGGACGACGACTCGTGTGTGCTGGTGAGTGGGTGCTTATAAACGAGTATGTGCCTGTGACAGATCTGTGTGCTTGTACTGAGTGTGCGTATAGCAAGCACGGCTCTGTGCCATCATGCGCATTGCTGTGGCGCTCAAGCGCTGCTACACGGGCGGTGCTGCCAGCGTGCTCGTGCTGCAGGACGATGACTCGTGTGTGCTGGTGAGTGTGTGTGTGTGCATTTGCACCTGTAACGGGTGTGTTCATAGTGAGTATGGATCTGTGCCATCATGTGCATTGCTGTGGCGCTCGATCGATGCTACACGGGCGGTGCTGCCAGCATGTGCTCGTGCTGCAGGACGATGGCTCGTGTGTGCTGGTGAGTGCGCATGCCTGTAATGGATGTGTACTGGTGCTCATTTAAGTAACGCGCATACACTTGCTGTGGCCCTCGTCACGAGCGTTGCTGCTGCCAGCGTGCTCGTGCTGCGGGACGATGATCCGGGCGTGCTGCTGGCGAGTGCATGCTTGTAACAAGTATGTGCATGTAACGAGTGTTTGTGCCAGCAATGGGTTTGCAAACTAATGGGAGAGGGTCTGCTCAGGATGTATCGGTGGAAAAGTGGGCTGGAAGAGTGGGCTGCACACAGTAACAACCCCTCCTCACTCAACCACCATCAGGTGGGTGGGTGACCCCACGTGAAGTGAGGGTGTTTTTGAGACCCCACCTGTCTGCATTCGACAACTCCACACAGTAACAACCCCTCCTCACTCAACCACCATCAGGTGGGTGGGTGACCCCATGTGCAAATCCTCACACAGGGCCGGCACAGGACGTGTCTCTGGAGATGTGGGCGGCAAACCACCCGCACCCCTTCCCACCCCCTCTTCTCCCCCGGTACCTCTTCCCACCCTCACTTTTCCTTCATCACCCCTCCCCATCCCTCCCCACCCCTCTGCACAACACGTTATCAGGCGGTGACCCCGGCAGTGGATCCTCTCACAGGGGCGGCACAGGACGTGTCTTTGGAGATGTGGGCGGCACGGAGCGAGCTTGAATACTTCCACAAGGTAGATACCTCCACGCCTTGGGGCCTGCCTACAGGGGTGCTAGGGGTTTGGGTTTAAGATTCTGGGGTGAAGGATGTGGGATTTCAGAGGCGGCCAGGACGTGTCTCTGGAGATGTGGGCGGCACGGAGCGAGCTGGAATACTTCCACAAGGTACCTCCACGCCTTGGGGTTTTGTGCTTGGGGTTGGGGTTTGGGGTTTGATATTCTAGGGTGAAGGATTGGATGGATGTGGGATTGTTACTGTGGCTTGGGTTCGGAGTCTCGTGAGATGTGGGCATAGTGATGCCCTCTTATGCTCACTCCCCAACCAGTACGCACCATGCTCACTCCCCAACCCGTACGCATATGGTGCATATGACTCCTCTTGTGGGTGAAGGATCTGATGAATGTGGGATTGTTACTTCGGCTTGAATTCGGGGTCTTGGGAGATGTGGGCTTAGTGATGCCCTCTTATGCTCACCTCCCGACCCATATGCACCATCTTCCCCCCCTCTCCTCCCGGCCTCTCTCCCCCTCATTGACTCCCTCCTACACCCCACGGTGTGCAATAAGGCACCGTCCACAGTCATTGCGGACGACATCGACACGGTGCTACTTTTGAGAATTCTCAAAAGTCGCACCAACACAGTCAGTCATTGCGGACGACCTTGACAGGGACCTGCTTTTGAGGCACCTCAAAAGTCCCCCCATTTCTCCCTTCTACACCCCACGACGTGCAGATACTAATAAGGCACCGTCCATAGTTATTGCGGACGGCCTTGACACAGGGACCTGCCTTTGAGGCGCCTCAGAACTCTCTCTTCATTTCCCCCCCCGTCACCCCCCGACGTGCAGATACTCAATAAGGCACCGTCCATAGTTATTGCGTAGCCTTTTGAGATGACTACTCACACATCCCTCATTTCTCCCTCATTGCACCCCACGCTCTGCAGATATTTAAGAAGGCGCCATCCATAGTCATTGCGGATGACCTCGACACGGACCTGCTCCTTGCAGAGCAGTCCAGGAGCCTCAGCTCTTAGCTACGTTCCGATGTACTATTTCTCAAGGATCAACAGCCTCAAATGGCTATTCTCGAAGGCGCCTCAAGAATTGCTGGGCCTTATGAAGCAGACCCTCGTGCTGGCTCCACGGCTCTTAAACAAATTCCATCGTCCCATCTATCGTGTTCAACTAAGTGTTAGCAAAGCAGGGGCAAATAAGGTGAATATGTACTGAGCGGGATGTGTACCCTGCTGGCGAATGGTTTGAATGGTGCTTTGTGTGAGGGTTGTGTATAGTGTGATTTTAATAAGTGTATGAGACTGAGTGCAATGGATAGGATGAGTTGGGATTGCACAAGATTTTGAAGTGCACAATGTCTTCTTTTATTATTATTTTACACATGGTACCAGACTCGACAAATATAATAAACCGGACCATAAATGGGCTGAATATTTAATGACCACACAAACGTGCAGGGTTTCCCAATTTACATTTAGTCCCCGAGCCCGAACAGTCGGAGTGGCTAGCAACGGAATTATAGTCACCAGCCCTTCTGTCGACGGACAACGCAGCATAAGATGTGAAGGGTTATTGATTGTCTCACTCTAGTTTGATCAGAGTGCTAGATCTGTTACGGTAATTGAGGTACAATTACAGTTTGATTTACAACGAGGGCACTGTGATCACTAGCAATAATCACCACATCAGAAACAGTAATCACCTCCGTTCAAGACATTTTAGCTCTCCACGAACAAGTATACATATATATATATACATGTATATATATATATACAAGTGTGTATTCGAGGTTATCCGATAATGTCTCGCGCAAACTCGTGCAGACAAGACAACAGTGTCGCCGAGACAAGCCAATTGACTTGATGGGGTCCCACTTGCCGCCCGTTCATGCTTTGTGCAGTTCAACTGAAATGGCCGTAGCCCGAGTCAGCTTCTGACGAAAGCGCAGGTTATAAGCACCTGGCTAATCTGCCTGAGATGGAAACACAGTTTGGAAATATCCCCCCTGCCCGAAGTCAGGGTCCTTGCATGAAATTAATCGTATAGCTTTGAAGAAACTGATTTGAACCCAACAAAGCACTCGCTCTTTGCATTTCCGCTTGATTGGTTGATTATACTACGGATGGATAATGCGTCAGCCATGAAGCTAAACTTGCCCGTATCCTCGAGAGTGTCGCAGGTGTAAGTACTTCTCGATTCACCTGCGCGGCGAGAGTCTAACCTGGGCGGCTCCAGTGAGCTGACAAAGAATATAAGGAGATAAGCCAAATCGTTACACGTAATGCACACCTAGCAGACCATTGTAGACACTCTTCGAGTTGAATGACAGGAGCAACAGTCGAAGTTTCTGAATAAGTGACTGTCCTCTGGTCAAACATGGTTTGTGAATAAGTGACTCCTCATACAGAACAAACCTCACTACCCAATCCTAAACTGCAGCCGAAACTTCAATAGTGAGTCCTACACCTGTAATATTTGGGTCAAAGAAAGAGTAACTCTTTTAGTGGTGACAAAGTGTAATACGGCGCACTTCAGGTTGAAAACGATGTGGGCGTCCCAGGTTCATGGATCTGCTTATCACATCTGGATGTGTCCAAAATTTCTGGTTGTGGTCATTTGGTCCAAAATGCGTACTGTACCATTTCTCCCCACCCCACCACACAATTGGCCCGAAGAGACCCAGCCCCACCAACTCCCGTTTCAGAAGTACACCTGCTTAGTCCCCTGACTTATCACCAGCAGACCGCTCACCAATACAAAGGCAATTCTGCCGCTCCTTGTGTATCAAGAAGCTCAAGCGTGTTACTTCTCAATCGACCAGCTCTGGACCAAATACCGATTTTTTCGCCATCATGGCCCGCTATGTCGTCGTTTGTCTGCTCCTTCTCCTCGCTACATCTGCCGTTGTGAGCGCTGGAAACGACAAACCCGCGAATTCGGCTGCTGACAAGGCGGCTGCTGACAAGGCCGCTGCTGACAAGGCCGCAGCTGACAAGGCCGCAGCTGACAAGGCCGCAGCTGACAAGGCCGCAGCTGACAAGGCCGCAGTTGACAAGGCGGCTGCTGACAAGGCGGCTGCTGACAAGGCGGCTGCTAAAGCGGCTGCTGACAAGGCGGCTGCTGACAAGGCGGCTGCTGACAAGGTGGCTGCTGACAAGGCGGCTGCTGACAAGGCGGCTGCTGACAAGGCGGCTGCTGACAAGGCGGCTAAGGACGCTGCTGACAAGGCCGCTGCTGAGAAGGCCGCTAAGGAGGCTGCTGACAAGGAGGCCGCTGACAAGGCCGCCAAGGAGGCTGCTGACAAGGCCGCGAAGGAGGCTGCTGACAAGGCCGCGAAGGAGGCTGCTGACAAGGCCGCGAAGGAGGCTGCTGACAAGGCCCCGAAGGAGGCTGCTGACAAGGCCGCGAAGGAGGCTGCTGACAAGGCCGCGAAGGAGGCTGCTGACAAGGCCGCGAAGGAGGCTGCTGACAAGGCCGCGAAGGAGGCTGCTGACAAGGCCGCGAAGGAGGCTGCTGACAAGGCCGCGAAGGAGGCTGCTGACAAGGCCGCGAAGGAGGCTGCTGACAAGGCCGCGAAGGAGGCTGCTGACAAGGCGGCGAAGGAGGCTGCTGACAAGGCGGCGAAGGAGGCTGCTGACAAGGCGGCGAAGGAGGCTGCTGACAAGGCGGCGAAGGATGCTGCTGACAAGGCGGCGAAGGATGCTGCTGACAAGGCGGCGAAGGAGGCTGCTGACAAGGCGGCGAAGGAGGCTGCTGACAAGGCGGCGAAGGATGCTGCTGACAAGGCGGCGAAGGATGCTGCTGACAAGGCCGCTGCTGAGAAGGCCGCTGCTGACAAGGAGGCTGCTGACAAGGCCGCTAAGGAGGCTGCTGACAAAGCGGCTGCTGAGAAGGAGGCTGCAGACAAGGCCGCTGCCTTGAAGGCGAGACCAGTAAAGAGAGGGGCGCTGTGCGTGGATGGCTGCGACTACAAGAATGGCTCGTTCGACTACTGGAAGGTGCGTCTGCCTCCCTTCTCGATTGCCAAAGGAGGATGCCGTTTAGAAGTGTGCTTTTATGCATCCTGCTGCTTCTCTGCTTATCATGTGCTCATGAGTACCCACCTTCTCCCCGTCGCTCTTCTCACTGGCAGGTGCCGGAATTCCAGACGTGCATGTCAAAGCCGGAGAAGGACAACGCCCCGTGGTGCGCGGCGGGCGCGGTGAACGCCAAGGACTGCTGCGCGGCATGCAAGGCCGGCGCCACCGCCGCCAATGGAAAGGCCTATACCTGCCGCTTCTGGGTGCACATCCCGTGAGTAACTCTACAATCCAGTCCCTTACTTCCCAGTATTTAGTACTACGCCTGTGCTCGCGTCAAAACATGTGACTCTCTTCGATGCTCCCAAGTCGCGTTCAGTCCTCTGTTGCACACTGTTTCTCTTCATTGCTTTCTGTTGCACTATGTTTCTCTTCATTGCTTTTGAATCTTCGCATTGCGCTCGTTTCCTAAACATAGTTTCCTTGGACCTGTCGCTCTGTTTTTTCTCTGTTTGCCGCAAATCGCAGATCGTCGCCCAGCGAGGGCAAGTGCAACGGCAAGGAGTGTGGCAAGTGCCTTCTCCTGCCGGACCTCAACTCCCTCCTGCCCACCAAGAGCGACAAGAAGGGCTGCGGCGGAAAGAAGGTGCGCATCGGCAAGAACTGCCCGGCTGCGCAGAACGACCCGCACTTCCTGGGCGCGCACAACACGCGGTTCGACTTCAACGGGCTGCCCGAGAAGAACTTCTGCCTGTACATGGACCGCGCGGTGCACGTGAACATGGGCATGCGCGGGTACCTCGACTCGCGCTCCACGCTCAACTCTCACGCCCTCGTCGTCAACGGCTCCGCTGTGCGCACCTGGATCCGCCAGCTCGCCGTCATGTGGACCGGCAAACGCGCTACTCACTCCCTGCTGCTGACGGCGCGCGATGGCAAGGAGCAGCTCCGCGGAGAGTCCGGCTTCCTGGCCTCTGTGGAGCTTGACGGCCGGCCTCTCCCCCGCCTTGTTCCCGGTGAAGTGCGCAGCTTGGCTGGCGGCAAGGTGTCCCTGGAGTTTGTGGGAGAGGAGAAGACCGGACCGTACGACGTGGACCACTACTACCTGAGCATCAAGGGGCTCCTGGAGTTGGACCTGAAGCTGCGCCCCGCTCACCCTCAGCGTCCATGGCGTGATGGGGCAGACATACCGCAGTGGCAGGGAGGCGCGCACGGTGGAGTTCTCTAGGCTCGCTGCCATGCTGCACCACCCCGTGTCCGCCGATGGCGCGGAGGGCAAGGGCTTCCTGGACGGGCAGGTGAAGGACTGTGAGACCAGCGCCGTCACCGCCACTGACTGCCGCTACTCTGCCTTCAACGGCCAGAGGCTGCCCGTTTCCGCATACTAACTCATTTGAGTCGAGCCAGTTTTTGTATTGTATATTAGCTGATTTAGTATGCTTGCTGGTGGGTGTACAACTATTCATTAATTTGTTGTAGTGGGGTATGTAAGCTTGTCATTGCATGAAAATCTGAGAGTGTGTTCCTACACCTATCAGACACACCTCGTATCAGCTTCGCGCGGTGAAATACGTTTCAGTGTGTTTAACCACATATGAGGCCTGATATGAGGCCGTATAACCACGATTTAATAATGCGTCAAAACCTGGTACACTGTAAATTAAAAGGTACAGAAAGATGCGCAACAACAATGTACAAGAAGACACATACGAGAAAGGCTACAGATATGAAAATGACAAGCAGTTAACCCTAGATGTCAAAAGTGTATGATACTTCTTTTGCTGTTTAAAGCTGTCGCCTACATACTTCCTGCGGGAGGACTAGGTTTATCACTTGAAAACCTGGTAGCACAGGGCTTCGCTCCAACCTTGAGTGGCGAGGTGTAGTTACTGCTTTGTGACAACCCACCCCCCCCTCTGAAAATAGGACTGCTTAGGATTGGCTTACAGTTTTCGCGCCCATCTCATCCCAACCTCGATTGGTTGCAGGTTGTGACGAAATCTCCAACACAACCCCAACCTCACGAAAAAAGTACCCCCCAATGAACGCTCTTGTGAATTGGTCTTGTGGCGCTTGCTTGTGCTCGGAGTGTGTGGTGACTTTGTGAACCATCTTGAGCTTTGCTTTGTTGCCTCTTGTCCCCCACTTCGCCTATAGGGGTGTGTCAAACAACATACGGTATTGTTACCGTCATCGCCCGGATAGTAGTGTTGAATAGTAGACAGGGGTTGTCTATTATCCGGGTGTCTCTTATAAATAGGCTAGCCTCATTATAAGACACCTATTTGTGTGTACGAGACAAGACATGTGTCTTATAATCGAAACTGCAATACGGTATATTATAGTGAATCTTGAAATACCGCGTACATTTTTACCCTTGCGACGCGCGAATTCTTCCACGTGCTGACTCAGGTACTACCAAATTTGCCTCTGCAAGTATTTTCCATGACGTGGCTTCCCGAACAATGGCTGCCGAAGTGGCACCTTCACAACATCCACACCACACTCATTATGAGAAACTCTTTTCAATATGTGTGAAAAAATTTCTAAGGGCATGTTCCTACGGCCCCTTATCAGGCCAACCTCTTATCAAGCTCGCTACTTTTCCCCCTGAAAATTCCCTAAACCCAGAAACCCTCGCTACTTTTACCAGGCAAGGCTGACAAGAGGTTTGCCTGATAAGAGCGTAGGAACATGCCCTAAGTAGTTTAAAAACTTTCCAATTATAAGACTTATAAGACACCCAAAACCTCCCCAAATACAAGATAACCCAAGCATTTTTTCTAGTGTACGAGAAAAGACATACATGTCTTATATCCAGGCGATGACGGTAGGTTATAGGCTATAGTGAGGTACTCATTAGAAGGTACAACCCAATTAAGGTTTACTACCATACTTGTATCACATTGCTGCTAGTCATTCCCATTCCGCTCTTCACACTTCTTGACATGGTATCAAACGCTATGTTAGGTCCGTACCTACCGCTCGTTACCCATGCATGCCCGACGCGCCGCTGACCCTCGTGCACGCTGTCCGTACGATGCCCCATGCGCCGCGCTTGCCCGTACGCTGCCCCATGCGCCGCGCCTGCCCCCGAGCGCTGCCCTGCCTGTGCGCTGCCCTGCTTGTGCGCCGCCCCACGCGCCACGCCTGCCCATACGCTGCCCCTTGCGCCGCACCTGCCCGCGTGCACTGCTCGGCCCGTGCGCTGCCTCGCGCACTGCGCCTGCCCGCAAGCTGACCTGCGCTACCCTGCCCCGCGCGTCCGCACTGCACTGCCCCGCACCGTCGCGCTGCCATGACCCGTCGTCGCCGCGATACCCTACCCTGCGCGTCCGCGATGCCCTGCTCCGCGCCATCGCGCTGCCCTGCCCCTTTCGCCGTCGCGCTGCCCTGCCCTTCGCGTCCGCGCTGCCCTGCTCCGCGCCATCGCACTTCCCTGACCTGGCGCCATCACGCTGCCCTGCCCTGCGCATCCGCGTTACCCTGCCCCGCGCCATCGCGCTGCCCTGCCCCTGCGCCGTCGCGCTGCCCTGCCCTGCGCGTCCGCGTTGCCCTGCCCCACGCCCTAACTGCTGCCGCTGCCGCTACAGTCACTACAGCAGCTGCTACAGCTGCCACGGTCGCAGCAACTGCCGCTACAACCGCTACAGTTGCTGCTACAACTTCAGCAGCCACCGCAACCGCCGCTACCGCTGCTGCCGCTGCCGCTACAGCCGCTGCAGCTGCCACTACAGCTCTCGCAGCCGCCCCGACAGCCGCCGCTACAGCCGCCATTGCAGCCACTGCTCCAGCCACTGCTGCAGCTGCCGCTACTGTCGCTACTGCAGCTAAAGCAACTACAGCCGCAGCCTCTGCCTGTGCGCCGCTGCTACCGTGCATTGCTGCCACCCGGGCGCCACACTGCAGCCGCTGCCGCTAGTGATTTGCACCGACGCTGCTGCTGCCCTTACGCCGCTACTATTCGTGTGCCGTGCTGCCGCCTCTACCGCCCGTGCACTATACCGCCTCTGCTACCGCCCGAGCGCCGCTACTGCACCGGGCCATGCTACCGCTCACTCTCTGCCGGACTGTATCTCGAGGCGCTATCTGAGCTTAGATCTGTAGCATAACCTAGTTCCTGACATGGCCACTGTCACTGTCCTAGCGGTTGACGCAGACGGGCGCCCATTCGAGTTAGAGTGGTGGCTCTAGCGCTTGTGCCTGTATCTCCAGCGTTTCATTAGAGATGGCATCTCCCTGTTCGAGCACACGCCGAGGTCCCTTCAGCCCCCCCCCCGACTCCCACTGAGCGTGTTGCTGATGCTGGAGAAGACGTACACTGGTGGTACCGGGCGGACCGCATTGCCTGCACACAGTGGACGGAGCCCGACGATGTTGCCCAGGTTGCTGTCCGCGCTCACCTGCCGTTCAACCAGGAGGCTCACTTTCGCCTGGTGACGTCAACCCAGACTTTCTACGATGCTGTAGTTAGGCACTACTCCCCCCTCTCTCCTGCCACCCAGTAGTCGCAGCGGCGGCGTCCGTTGTTTTCGGAGTGGCAGCAGCTGGGAAGGCGAATGTAGGTGCCTGTGAGTTTGCTCGCACAGGTGGTACAGCTGGTGGAGATGGAGGTTCTGGGGATGGACAGCAGCGGCAGCAGCGTCTGCAGTAGACCCTCTTGCCGCAGCAGCTTTGTGAGTGGGTTTCCCAGCGAGCTGTCCCTGGAAGTGTAGAGGCTGCTGGTCTAGGTGCTTGTGAGTCTGCTAGTACAGGTGCAGTTCCCGCGGAGGCTCTGCACACCTTCACGCTTGACTCAGGTGTGTCTCGCTACTTCTTCCGCGATTGCACCACAATCACACCACTCACCACATCTGTCCCTGTCACTCTAGCTGACCCCTCCTCTGTCCCAGTCATTGCACGTAGTTCCACTGTTCTCCCATGTCCCGGAGTCCCCTCTGGTTCCATCACAAGTCTCCACCTCCCCTCGTTCGCTACAAACTTGGTGAGTAACTCTGTCCTCCAGGATCATTTGAACACTACCACCACTCCTGGGGGCGAGCTTGTGGCGATGTACGTACTCAGTGACTAGCGACCACCTCGCCACTTTCACTCGGAGGCCTGGGTCTGGCCTATACACACTGCACGTTGCGTCTGCACAGTTGGCTGTGTCCAGTCAGGTAGCTGCGTCTTGCTCGTATCGGTTACTCACGCACCCGACCCTCCTCTGGCACCACCATCTTGGTCACCCCTCCCTGGAGCGTGTGCGTCGCGTGCATTCGCCTCTCCTTCAGGCCTCCCGAGGTCCCTGCCCCTGCTCCCCCCGTCGCTTGCGCCGCCGTGCATTCCCTGTGTCGAGGGGCAACAGCGCATCTCCTCACTCCTCCTCGTTCCTCCGACCACTGCTCCTCTGCAGACCCCGCACATGGACGTGTGGGGCCCCGCCCCCATCCCTATGCCGGACCAGGAGCGCTACTTCTTGCTGGTCGTCGACGACTACACGCGCTACACCACGGTGTTTCCCTTGCAACACAAGGGAGACGTCCATCTTGTTTTGATCCCTTGGATCCGCGCTGTTCGCCACTAGCTGAGCGCACGGTTCCGTCAGGACATCCTGTTGCTCCGTCTTCACTCTGAACGTGGAGGTGAGTTTTCCTCCGGTCTCCTTGAGGACTTTTGTAGTGAGGAGGGCATCTCTGGTTCACGCTTACGGCTTCTTCCACAACAAAAAGGGATCGCTGAGCGCCACATTGGCTTGATCATGGAGGTTGATCGCACCTCCATGATCCATGCAACTGCTCCCCATTTTTTTTGGTCGTTTGCGGTCACCGTGTATCAGCTCAACCTCTGGCCCTGTGTCTCCGAGCCAGAAACCGCGCCTGTGTTGTATCAAACTAGGGTTGGCGTTGTGTTGACGTTTTGGGTCTGGGGTTCCCTTGCCCTTGTCCACGATGCTACCGCGGGCAAGCTCTCTCCTTGCACTATTCATTGCGTCTTCCTTGGCTTTCCCACCGACGCGCCACCTTGGCAAATTTACCACCCTGCCAAGCGCCACGTCCTGTCCCCCCCGCCACCCCTCTTCCTGGTTCCAGGTCATCCCCCAGTAGACCCCCCCCCCCCCCCCCCCTCCCCCTCGCGTCTTGCTCCATCAGGTGTGTCTCAGGTCTCACCACCCTCCTTGGTTGTGCCTTTGGAGATCTACTCAGACTCCACAGGCCCGGCTGAGGGGGGGTGACCCTGCTGCTGACGACACTACAGCCTCTCGCCGCTCCCCGCGCTTGGAGACCCCTCCTGGTTTTCTGCCTTGGCCGCCTTCGCCACCTCTGCAGCCTGTCACTGTGCACTCCGGTGCTGGTTGGGGTGGTGAAGCTGGAGGTGCAGGCTTTGGGGGTGCTGGGACTTGGGGTGC